TGCTAATGGAATATAATCAAATCTAAACCCAGACAATTGTGACAGAGAAGATTAAATTTAATATTTAACTGTCTATATATATAAGGTACCATTGTATGGAAAAGGGTAAACTTAGTTCATGATCTGTCATATCAGAAATTATAGCAGATTTGCAGACACATAGTCTGGACAAAATTTAAGAACCCCTTTGATCTTTGAAGGATACGTAAGTTATAGCCACTATCTAGATAGGCCAAAATGACGTCAAAATAGCCACCAGGAAAAGTTAACTCTTTCCTGGATAGGTATGTTTAGTGGGACAAGACTGCCCTCTACAGACCAAATAACTAATTTGCGATCTGGAAGATAACCACACCTCTAGTGCTTCTATTGGGTTATCAACTGATGACGTACAGAGAGTCTGGCCCTTTAAAAGTTAAGACAAAGGGAAGATAGAGACGAGAGAGGAGGCAGATGCAAGATATGCAAAGGAGAGGAGAGAGGAATTGGAAGTTTGGGGATTCCAACTCGGACAACATCTGAGACTAACACTCTACTCCTAAAACTCTAACACTTAGAATTTACTGACTTTCTAACCAACACCTCCATGCAGAGAGACTACCAATCGGATGAAATATCTACTCAACTGGTAATTATACTGGTTTCATTTAATTAAATTAAATTAATTAAAATGTATTAATAGCATTATATATGACTGGATAAAGCACGGTCAGATTTCCATATTAAGAAATCTTAGTTAACTAAGAATATATAGTTATAAACATTCCATTCTGCAGGTGGAATTAAGAATAATTATATATTGATGTGATATTATCACGTGTTAGCATATCGCTGTTTTTATCCAGGTGTATTGATTTGCTCTAAATTAAGATAGATATCTTTTAGACAAATTAAAAATCTGCTTATATAATATGTAGATTCTCTTATTGGATGTTTTAAGAAAATGAATTTAAACTGGTTTAAATGTTATTTTATTTAAAATTACATAAGAATAGATCTTAACTACCTAGGAGATCTAGCCAGCATTGAAAGGGTTATTCTAACTGTCTGCTAAACTTTACGACCTTATGCTGCACTCTGAGGAATTCTGTTCTTCGCTGCGAAAAGTTTCACTTTCAGTCTGTGAAAGCTAGTCATAAATCGTCAGAATTCTTGACAGAAAATGCTAGTTAGCCATTGAAACGTAATACCCATTTCTTTGTATTGCATACCATTTTATACTGAATATTCATTGATTATTGTCATGCATGTTACATATATTATTATTAATTATTGGTTATCATAAATAAAAATCTATTTTTATACATTGTGATTATTTATATGAAATACTTTTCACTTAACACGATAAACGTTCTTTGGGATCTGAGAATTGAAATAGTGGGCAATTCTCAACTGTTACTATTATTATCCCATAAATATCCCCACAATCTACTTTTGTTTTTGTTAGAGGACAACTCCATCACACCTAAGATCTGTCCCCTTAAGGTTCTTAGGTGCGGAAGTTTTCCGGACGCACTGGACAATTAGTTATCATATGTCCCTTTCTACCGCAATATAGGCATAACCCCTCCCTTCTCCTATACTGTTTTTCGGCCTCTGACAGTCTAGTGACCCCCAACTGCATAGGTTCGGGTTCGGACTGTACAGGGAGGTTAGACAAAACAGGTTTAGAGAATTGAGGTGCTAGGGACATAGCCGTACGTCTGGTCTTGCTTCTGGTGACTTCTCTGAGTCTTAACCTATTATCAATATGCATGACAAACGTAATAAATTCGTTAAGACTCTTAGGTAATTCTTTAGCGGCTATCTCATCTAGTATAGTCTCTGAGAGACCCTTTTTGAATGCTGAGATTAACCCATTGTTAGTCCAGTCTACCTCGGAAGCTAAGGTACGGAATTCAATAGCATAATCCGAGATAGACCGGTTACCTTGTCTGATGTGCATTAGGGCAGTGGAGGCGTCATCCTCTCTACCCAATGGCTCAAACGTGAGCTTGAATTCGGCAAGGAATTCCTGGTAATTATGAGCTATGCTCCGATTACTCTCCCACAACGGATTAGCCCAGGCAAGGGCCTTGCCCTTTAATTGATTCATTAGATAACCAATTCTTGCTCTGTCCGTGGGGAATGACCCTGGTGAGGCCTCAAAATGGTACTCCACCTGATTAAGAAAACCCCTGCATTCCTGGATATTGCCATCAAACTGTAGGGATGGTGATAAGGAGATGCAAGGAGTCCTATTAACAGTGGGTGGAGGTACACAGGGTAGAGGTGCTATAGGAGGAGACGCTGCAGGCTGCAGATGCTCCGTTCTAGCGAGAAGCGTACTTAAAGCCTGAGTGAATTGATCCATGCGGTGATCATTCTCCTCTAATTTCCTCTCGCAAGCAGCTATGTGCTGACACAGTTCTACAGGATCTATGGCCATGTCGTAATGTCAGGATTACTGTTTGATCCAGCACGTAGAACTGTACAGCACGGATGACAAATAAGTAACGTATTACCGGTCCTTAGAATGGCCGGATTTAACGTACAAAGAATAGTCAAAAATACTAGCCGAGGTCAGGGAACACAGAAAGGGACACAGCGATGAGGAAAGCCAGGAGTCAGGATACCAGAATATAGAGAAGTCAATAAACAAAGCCAAAGTCAAAAACCAGGTAGAAAACTATAAACAGGAACGCGCTCTCGGACAACCACAAGGGAAACCACGACAGGGCACTGAGCAGGCTGAGAACTGGGCCTAAATACCCCTCCTTTAGTTCTGATAGGCTGTAACCGGCCTTTGACCCCAAAGTCAGTTACCAGGTTTCATTTGCATAATTGCTGCTCAGCATTAACCCTTCTGTGGATTAGGTTGCTGCTCGGCACAACTTTTCCTGTGTGGACAGTAAATGTCATTAATCACTTTTCTCTAAGCGGATGAATACATGACACCAGGTTTCATTTGCACAATTACTGCTCAGCATTAACCCTTCTGTGGATTAGATTGCTGCTCGGCACAACTTTTCCTGTGTGGACAGTAAATGTCATTAACCACATTTCTATAAGCGGATGAATATGTGACACAAAATACCTCTGTGGAGAAAGTAACCCGCCACTGGTTTTTGGAGGAGCCTGTTTGCCAGCCTCCTGCTCTGCGACTATTGCCCTGGGATGTATTGCCCTTCTAGGAACTGATGTGGGCATACTTGAGGCTTATATTGCTGTTCTTGGCCTTTTAATGCCCAAAGAAAGGATTTTGTACTTTTAAACTGGCACTTCGGATGCAGTTGAAATCGTCGAAGTGTCGACGTTGTCGAAGTGGCCGCCATTCGAATACCGAACTTGTGGCGGCGGCCATTTTAACTCATTCGAACGCGGTCAGCGGTGTGTGCAGTCAAATCTAGGGAACTGTTTTCAGCTACCCAATTGCACGAACACCACTGACCCATACGTTCTACTCTACTTCGACACTGCGGCTGGAAACTAAGTCCCGTTCGAAGATTCAAACGCTCGTTCGAATGGGACTTAGTCATTTTCTCAGTGTAAAATAGACCGACCGCACAGCCCAAATCCATGGAACTGTTTTGGGCATGAAAATGTGCTTGCGGTCGGTCAAAAGTGACTTATATGTATCTCCCGAACGGCTGAACGGATTCAAATGATTTTTGGGTAGTTTGTATTTGGAATGTGCTGATTAATAATATGTGACTTTTATTAATATTGTATGTATGGTTTTAGAGTTATGAAAGTTGGGTAAAAAGTATGTTTTAAAAGGTATGAATAATTGGGTTACTTCTCAGGCTAAGGGGAGGAGATGTGTGGGATGTAACTATTGTGTGATTGGGTATTGTATAATTTACTGTGGGCGTCTCTCTTGCATGAGAGAATTGCATAAAAGCAGAGTGTGTGTCCTTAAACCAGAGTTGTTCTTCACCCTCAATCTAGAGTCCTGTCTCTTATTGGGGGAATTGCTATATCACTACAAGGGATTGCTATGCTCTGCATGCTCCCTTGGATAATCACTTCTAAGCTATTGTAAGAGCTTGTTCCTGTTTCCCTCTCTTGGAGGAGAGGTTCACCCACTGGAGCCTGGAGCTTTGTCGTAGGCCCAGGGTGGGTAGGAGACAGCGAGACCCCAACCAAGCTGCAGTGGTTTGTGGGGTCTGTGGAGCATTTGGAGCCCTCCGTAAGCGCTAGGAGCATCCTTCAACGGAGGTACCCAGTCAGGGTGCCAGGTGATCCGTGACAACCTCCAAAACACATAAAAATCCCCTGATAGCCCTGATCACTACTTATTCAATACAGGTATTCCACCCCCCAATACTAGATTTTGGGAGTATCAACAAGGACTAATACATGATTAGCCATGACCAGTTTTTTCTTTTTCTACTCTCATGGAAATCAACGTGATTTGAGCATCTAGCATTCTGCTCTAACTAGGATTATTCCAACTCTCATTTATTTAATGACATTATAAGTCTACAGGGTCAGATTGAGATTTAATATATCTAGTCCCATTGGGGACTGGCCCACTATTATAATTTTGCCTCTTATATTTATTATTTAAGTTTTCTTATCTCCCCTTCCAAGTATCTTTACTGTTAAACCATCTACCCACTCTAATAAGACAGAGTATTTTTTATCAAGGAACAGACGTGTGCAGGATTATACCTATATTGGGTTGGCCCCGTAGAGGGTATGTTGCTATTAAACCCTTACTAGTCCACCACAAAGTATTTTCTAGTGCTACTATTTACCATTTTATACTTGGGCTGTTCACATTTTGTTATCCATCTTTAGTAGCTATAGTGATATTTATGTTAATGTACTGGTTTAATTTCTAATATCTATTACTTTGTTAACCTTTTTTACATGAGCACTTTTAAATATTTTTATTTATTTTCTTTTATTATAAATACATTCTAGTTCCTAGTCGGGTAGATATTCTGTAGCTATCTGATACTTGCATTATAGTACATTCCATCTATCCCTGTCCCTACCGGTACACATCCTTTGTTCGTTAGTTTTCTCTTTGGGGTTACCCCCCATTCCCCAGTGTACCAGGTATTGGATCGATTTCAGTTCCTCTTCTTTCACTATGCCCAAAACAGTTCCATGAAATCAGTGCTAACAGTCGGTCAAGTTCAGTAGTCTTTAACAGGTTTCCCTGCAGGGCCCATAGTCTGTGGGCAGGAGGCTGGCAAGCAGGCTCCTCCAGGAGCTTGTGACAAACTCACGATGGAAGGGGAGTTGTCACATATCTTCCCCCTCCCAGGGAGACTATCCAGACCCCAGACCTCCAATTGGTCTGGGTCTGTAAAAGTCTGGTGGCCTTTCCCAAAAGGTGTATTTGTCCAGAAGGCCTCCTGCCACAAGCAGTCATTTGTATTTCCAGGGTCCTGCCCGGAAATAATCCGGCTGCACTTCCCCTCGGGCGGACCAGTTGGTCGCTCTAGGCGGGAACTTCTGTCGCTGTGGAGAGGGACCGGTTGTCTCTTCTCCCTGTAGACCATACTGCTGCTGGGGAAGGGGACCAACAGTCCCCTCTCCCTGGACCTCACTTATGAAGCCATCTGTGCTTGGAGGGCAGAGGCCAGCGGTTAACCTGGGTTGGGCATAATGGATTTGTGTTGTGCTGCTGCTGGCCCTTTAAGAACCATCTGGGGACATACTGTGGAGTTACTGGGTGGCCACCATTTCATGTAACAGAAGCACATGGTCACAACAATGGATGGCGGCCTTTTTAACTCACAGACACTGTGTGGACTTTTCTACACGGTGCCATCTCGCCAGTATTTGGTGCACAAAGACATCGTACAGTGGTTTTGGACTATACAACAGGGGACACATTATACAGTGATTGTTTTTCATTTAGCCTGTATATGTTCTGCGGAATCTGAGTTAAACTGTATCTTCCAAAGTACTGAACGGACCTGGGTGAATTTTGGATATGTGGTTAACCCAGATCCCTCGGTTCCACGGATATACTTTTTATGGGGTTATTGCATGTTTTGGGGCCCCTGTGATGTGTTTTATGAAACTGTATTTCTCTGTCTGTGATAATTAGATTACACATTGTGTAAGGTAATTGTATCACAGGCAGAGGGGAGGATTTTGTGTGGGAGTGTCTGTGTGTATTGTACGGATTGATTGGCTGTGTTTCAAAACCCTGTGGGCAGTACTATATTTGTGGATTGTGAATAAAAGAGGCTGTAAGTGCCAGTCCAGTCAGTTCTGCTTGACCTCAAAACGAAGTGTCGTCTCGTTATTGGGGGAATTGGATTGTATGCTGATTGCCAGGAGTGTAGGTTGATTGTATGCTTTTCCTGTTCAGCTGCTTACAGCATTCATATGCTTGAGAGCATTCATATGCTTCTCCGGTTGAGGCGTCTGCTGTAGTGCTTGGAGTCCTCAGGAAGCGCTTGGAGCATCCTTCCACGGAGGTACCCAGTCGGGGCGCCAGGTGATCCGTTACAGTGGGCAATTCTTAACTGTACAATATTATCATCCCATAAATATCCCCACACCATGCCCCTGAAGATATATGGCCCATCTGGTGGCACTTAGTGCTGGGGCCGGGTTCTGGACCCTGGCGGGCCGGACTCAGCCCACGGGCCGTAGTTTGAGGACCCCTGATTTAAACAAATACCTGAGCTATTCTTTTCTATTGTCCATTTTTTTTTTTCTATAGTAGTCCCTCTAAAGGTTTCGGTCACATTCCTCAGTGTAACAATACAATATTTTGTGTTTCTACCAAGATTATTCTTTTTAATTTCCAACATTTCTAGAATTTTGATTGAATTCATATCTTCCCCTTGGCCATAATTCATCCAATCTGAGAGACAGACCACACGTTACAAGAAATACGTCCTTGAGATCACGGAGGTCCCATGTTCCAAAATCTAAAGTTTCATAAACTTTTGTCCCCACAGGAATAAAGCTGAGAAAGTTGCAGGTAAATAAATGTTGACAAATCATCTGGTGTTTGTGTGTTTAATAGGGTGAACTTGATTATTATTAAGCTACAAATTGATAATAAAGTAAAGAGAAAATTACTTAAACCTAATTACCACAGTATATCTTCTCCCTGACCTTTTGCTATCATTACCCTACCACGAAATTACCCCACATTTCAATATTCTCCAGGATGGCACTGGTTGATTGTAAACCGATTCTGAATAAATAAACAGAGGTACAATAGTTGTGCAAACGTGGTATGTGTATACTCGGAAAAAGCAAGAGACTTTTTTTTTTTTTTAAATGTAGGCATCCTTTTTTTAAATTAGGCATCCGATTCTCATGATTTAATATTTCTGAAACTACAAATCAGTTTCTATCTCTATGGTGACATAACATGAATGAATACACATGATGCAACAATAATTCCAAAAACAAAAATTGAAGATTTCACTTGAGAACGGGGGCAGACATAACTGTCCGATTCTCTTGCGTCAGAAATATCCAGAAAATTACCATGGACTCTACTAGGGCATCACAAAACAAAAAACAGAAGCTGTGAAGGACAGAGGTGAATCCTCCTGGTGGACAAGAAATATGGAAAAAATGTCTGCTCATAGAAAACAGAGGATGTGTCGCTTTATTTGGACAGGAGTCATATATTGACAGTTATAGTGAGATATTACTAGATATCAGGGAATTGTTCAAAAGGAGTGATTAGCCACCCTCCCCAGCCTAGGAGAGAAGGTAAAAATTGCCCTGCGAAGCAGGCATTTCCCTCATAACCAGTTTGTGCACAGAAGGGGGGTAAAATAAACATTAGCAGACATGCTAAGGTGGTTGTTGAATTGACAAAATGAACATGATTATGAAAAAGCTGTTGCACCTTGACAGGAGTGGGAAACTTATATTACAGCAATCACATCTGAGACAGACTATTTAGCACAGAGCTAGCTCACCAGTCTATAGCCCCCATATCCTCTATATTGCACATTCTAACAGAGACCAATCTCAAAATAAATGAATGTCTGTTTGTTCCTGCAATGTCTCCTTGGACTAGACGGGTTGAGAGAAAAATAGGTATGATCAGTTTTACCCCAAGTACCCTAGACAGGACATCTACAGATCAAAATAGCATTAAATATTGGTGGCCTATGCAATTCTATATTTTAAAGGGTAAAATCCATCTACCCTTTTGTACTCGGCTAATAACAATGGTTAATTTAGCTATGAATGATTCTTCATAGAAACAGCAGACAACTTATCAACTGGTTTTGGAACTTATAGAACTTTCTTCTAATATCCATCAGCTTCCTGTAACCCTACTGAAAACTGCACTGGAAGCAAAGGAGTATGGCTCTAGTTTTTGACCATAAAAATAAAAGCATGAGATCTAATCTCTACTTTCTAACATACACTACCTCTTCAATTAGAGTCAGAACCTGAACTGGGGATCATGTGGGAATATTTAGTCTACCTCTACAAGTGGGAAAGGGTTAATACATCCTAACATGTGAGGGCTATTTCTTCAGTACCATGAAAAAACAAATTCTTCAAGAATGAATTTTCATATGTGAAATAAGATTTGTTGGCTGTCTAAAGTATTTCCCACATTTAGAACAGGAATATGACCGTTCTCCCTTGTGAATTTTAACATGTTTAGAAAGATATGACTTCTGCTTAAAACATTTCCCACATTCAGAACAGTTATAAGTGGTCTTCACTGTGTGCAGCTTCAGATGTGAATTAAGATTCTGTTTATGCCTAAAACAATTACCACATTCAGGACAGGAGAATGGTTTCTCTCCTGTGTGAGTTCTTTGATGTTGGACAAGGTATGAATTTCTGGTAAAACATTTCCCACATTTAGAACAAGAATATGGTTTTTCCCCTGTATGAGTTCTTTGATGTATTTCAAGAATTCCTTTCTGATTAAAACACCTCCCACACTCAGAACAAGAATATGTTTTTTCTTCCTCATGAGTTGTTGTACTGCTAAAATTCTCAGAGTTATTCACAAAACATTTTGCACAGTTAGAAATTGGTACCGATCTCTCTTTTGTGTAAATTATAGAATGAGTAAGACAATATTTCTCACAGGTCAGTTTCTCCATCTGCACAGATGGACATTCATTCTGTGGATATTCTGTAGATGTATACATTTCTGTGAGATTTTCTTCTTCAGATGAGACTGGCCCCTCCTTAATTTGTATTGCTGTGTACTCTATCTCTGTATGCTCTGTGGGTGAATACATTTCAGAGTCTGTGAGATGCCCTTCTTCACATGAGGCTGGCTCCTCCTTAATATGAGAAGTTGGATATTTTATCTGTGGATGTTCTGTGGGTGTATACATGTCTGGAAGATTTCCTTCTACAGAAAAGGTTGGTTCCTCCTTAATATGAGTAGATAGATATTCAGTCTGTAGATGTTCTGATGGTGTATACATGTCTGTGAGATTTCTTTCCCCACATGAGGCTGGTTCCTCCTTAATATGAATAGATTGATATTCGGTCTGTGGATGTTCTGATGGTGTATAAATGTCTGTGAGATTGCCTTCTTCACATGAAGTTGGTTCTTCCTTAATATGATCAGTTGGATATTCGGTCTGTAGATGTTCTGTGGGTGTAGAAATGTATTTTTTCACCCTGTTGCTTGTGTTTGCTTTACACACTGATGCCAATTCTGTTTCAAGTTTAGATTTATGCATGCATCTTTCTTGGTTTAAACAGGACGCTGAAGTAATACATGCTTCAAATGTAGAAGATGTATTGGCCTTGGACAAATCTGTGGGAAAGAAATATACAATAATTAGTTATGAAGAGATGATAACTGGCACACTTTGGCGATTACCACACATGCAAACTAGTTTCTCTATTAGGATAAAATTGGATGACAGGGATCATTATCGGCGACAGATCTTTATAATTCTACATTAAGAGCTTGGCCACACTATACAGTAGCACATAGAAGGATCTGAAGGGCACTCTAAACAATATGACCTCTACAGCTTGCTGTAATGGTTATATTGCCGGTGGTATTCTTGCACTATCCCCTGGTTTCAAAATGAAACAATATTAAAATGAATTTATATAAACCATAGGCTCTTCCTGGTGCCAAAGGACTAAAATTTTCTAATATGATTTGTCTAACCTTAAGTGTACAGATAATGAATCGCAGAACCCATATTTTTATCAATGTTGCTGATCCATCGGTAATCAAATGCTAAAATAACTAAAACCTCCTCTTACCCAGTGAGCTGAGGGGCTGGTGGTTCTCCATCATTATGTCCTTGTAGAGATCCTTATGTCTTTCTATATACTCCCACTCCTCCAAGGAGAAATAGACAGTGACATCCTCACACCTTATAGGAACCTGATACACACAATGATACAGTCACCATCCAGACACATCCCTTGGTTTTACTCTATAATGTTCCAGCAGCCTCACCTCTCCAGTCAGCAGCTCAATGATTTGATTGGTCAGTTCCAGGATCTTCTGATCATTGTTTCTCTCGTAGAACAGCAAGGGAGGTAGAGGAGCCATTCTGGGATTCTGAATGCTGCAAGATCGTTCTAATACATGGGGAGTACTGCTGGGTGACATACTGTCACAGGGCTTCTTCATAACCATGTAATCCTACATAGTGAGAGGAGCATAACATTGTATACATAGATCTGAAAATTCCATTATGTATTTTTAGTAAACTCCCTCTCCCCTTCCCTTTTAATCCAGTTAGTCATTTTTGAACTATCACAGACGGGCTATAATTTGCACTGCTATGTAACATGCATGCTTGACCTGCAGTACTGGAGGAAAAAAGTACTTACCGCAAATTCTCCCTCATGGATGTGTCCACTTTCAGCTCCTGACATTGCACCTGCCAGGACGATGTGGAATACTCCATAGAACTGCGCACACATCAGACAATCACATGTCTTTTACCCTCAACTTATAAAATCTATTGACTGTGATGGAATTGTAATGAAATTCCAACACAGTCCGTATGAGACTGTTATAGAGATTATATCGGTTTGTTGCAAAGATTACATGCTGCTATGCTTACCCTGAGTAAGGGAGCACTGGGCTATAACACGGAGTTCCAAGATGGAGATTTAACAGATGTGAACATTATTCTATACCTTGGATATAGCACTCGTAACACCTTACCTGTCCTGTAAATACAACCTACTCCTAAACACAGCTTCCCACTACGTCAAATATTATCGCCATGATTAACATTACTATGGAGAAAATACCCAGAATCCCTCACCTGCCCAGTCAGCAGGTAGATGATCTCCATGGTGAAACCCAAGATCCGCTCAGCCACCCGATTCCTGTTGTTGTTCATTATTAAAGCCGTAGTCAGATTGCTCGCTGAGAATGTCCTCAGACTGACTGCGTCACTTAGTGAGATGCATAGATTGTGCTATTCACTTATCCCAAAACAAAGCTGAAATTATAAAATAGATTCACTTTCATTGTTTACACTGATTACAATAAAAGAAATATGTAAGTGCTATTTCTCATATAATCTAGTATCACACTAATTTGGAATGAAATGTAACACTAAGCCTAGTATTAAACTTAACACTCCAAATAACAACTTGCTGGAGTGTCCTGGCAATATTTCTAGAGAAAGAAGTCACACCGTTTATAAAATGTTTTGACAACGTATATGGGTCTTGCTGAGCACCCACTGCCTTGTCCTCTACTATTAGTTAACACTGAGATAATCCCAGCTGTGACGGGTCCCCTGTGCCCCAACTGAGCACACCCATCCAAACAACTTTTTCCTGCCGCCAAACCAGACCGTTCACAAAGATTCAGTCAGCTAACACCCCTGCCCCAAGAACAGCAGACACACACAGCTTGAGGGTATAACAGGAACTAATTTTTATTAGACACACCCAGGTATTTGTACAGAAGTAAAATCATTAGTAAACCCACAAGGGTTTGGGACAGCCTATACAAACAACCAATCACACTAAGCATATTAATAACCAATAGAACATCACAGAACATCTACTTTGCCTACACAGTAAAACATTATACCTCAGGGAAAAGGATTAACACACAGTCAACAATAGGCAACTTATGTAATTGAGTCACAAAGGGGAAAGCCCCAGCCCCCACCCATGTGTCCACACAGTCTCTGGTTTGGCACCATCTTGTCTCTCCATATTGTTGCTAGGTCTAAGACTGTGCGCCCCACATAGCAGCTCCCCACACGAGCCCACACAAATAAGGAAGCCCTTGTTGCCCAAGTAACAACATACCAGCGTTCCGCCACATCTCGCCCCAAATCAAATCCGGCATGACCCTAACAGGTTTACCGGAGGCTGTCCAGGCTGCTCACATAACGTCTGTTGGGGTAAGAAGCTGCCCATCGGGGTAATGGAGGGACGGCCCATTGTCTGTAGGTAAGAGACCTGCCTCGAATCCTGTCCAGCAGTTTAGATTTTTCTTCCCCATCCTGCAAGAGGACCCCTTTATCAACTTTAAGCCTTCTGTGCTTTGCAAGAGTGGGACCCGTTGGTTGCCCCCAATTGCCCACCCATAATCAACAAAAGGCCCCGCAGAATTTGGAACCAGTGCCTGATACCAAACACCTCTTCCAACAACAGGTGCACACTTTGGCCAAGTGTAGTGATTTGGGGACAGCTGTCCAGCATCCACAGGGACCACAGTCTCATCCACCTGTATTGGGAAAAGGTCCCTGCATGCTGGGTCTGTACAGTCCCTTTCCTCCCAGGCTTCTGATGAGGGAAGGCAGAGGTCAGCAGCACACTTCCCTGATGCCAGCTTTTTTGGGAAGGGACGACACCCTCTTCTCCCAGGCTCTCACACTGCCATTGGGGAGATATGCCGCCTTCATCCTCTTCCTGAACTGGACTCTGCTGTTGGGGATCTGGGAAGGATGCCCCTCATCCCTATGGGGCTGGTGTGGAGACCTCAGTCCCATCCATGAGGTCTTCCCAGGACCAGTCTATTAGATCTCCTATTTCTGTATCTGGTTGTGAGGAAGGTGGTACAGCAGCTAGGGTATCTAATCCTGGGTATTTCAGGTCTGGGTCAGCCACCCAGCTCTCCAGGTACAGAGACCACGATCCCATCTGCGCCATCAGCTTCAAGTACCCGGTCTCCTGATTCCGTGTACTCAGTGGCAGTGAGAGGTTATGCTCAAACAGTTCTAGGTAGTCTGCCTCGAGGTACCACTCCTGGTAGACTAGCCAATCAAGATCTTGACCTAGAGCCAGTACCTCAGAGGGCGGCAATCTCTCCTGTCTCTTGGCTTGGATGTCCTAGAACCTATATCCTCAGGACTGACAAAGTCTTCATTTTCTGCAAATGCCTCCCATAGTAGGTCGCTGCTGCCGAGGTCGTTCCTTTCCAGAGAATAGGGTATCTCTGACCTCGCCTGCTGTTGGTTCACAGGCCAATATAATGCTCGGTATCCTTCCTCGAGCTGCTTCTCTTTTTGTACAAGCCTCCATAACTCGGCTGCTTCTCTACTCGTATGTTGATCCCCGAGGATGTGTAGCCGCAAACTGACCTGGTCCCCGAAGCTCTGTTCTGGGGTAAACAGGACTTGGCCTCGGCGTCTGTGACACTCCTCGTGGGTGTTTTCCCACAACTCTAGCCTAATCAAGGCTCTCCATTCTAGGCACTTCTCCTCTGGAAATGGCCCTCCTATCACTGAGAGTTGGCAACTTCAACTCTGCGTTCAAAGTCCCACACTGGAGCTTCCACATCAGAGGTATCTGTCCCCAGCATTTCCGTCATCCGAATCTCCTTACACCATGTGGTCTGTTTCCCCACCTCAGTGATACTTACTCGGATGGCCACTTTAGAGGGGCTGGCTCCGTAGATTGCCGGCCTTCTCTGCATTCTGCTGAGATTCTTCTTTTCCACACCTTTCAGCATTGTCTTGTATCCAGGCGTCCACATCAGCCACTCGCACTCCATGGGTCCTCTGTTGGCTCTTCCTCGCCAAGGTACACTTTCTCTTCTCTGCTGTCGTTTGGATCCTTGCTGGAAGAAGCAGATCCCGCCACTGCCACCAATGTAAGGGGTCACCTGTGCCCCAACTGAACACACCTGTCTGAACAGCTTCTTCCCACCGCCAAACCACAGATGTCAGCTCGTTCACAAAAGATTCAGTCAGCTAACACCCCTCCCCCAAGAACAGCAAACACACACAGATTGAGGGTAGAACAGGAACTAACTTATATTAGACACACCCAGATATTTGTATACAAGTAAACTCATTAGTAAACACACAAGGGTTTGGGGCAGCAGCCAATCATACTGGACAGAGACAAACAACCAATCACACTGAACAGAATAGGACACAATAATCACGGAACACCTACTTTGCATACACAGTAAAACATTATACCTTAGGTAAAGGGATTAACACACAGTTAATAATAGGCGACTCAGCTCCCTGAGTCACCAAGGGGAAAGTCCCAGCCCCCACTCACATGGCCACACAGTCTCTGGTTCACCGCCATCTTGTCTCTTCATGTTGTGGCTAGGTCTAAATCTGTGAGGCCCAAATAGCCGCTCCCCACCTGAGCCCACCCAAATAAAGGAGCCATGTGGGGTGTAATCCAAGCCTGAGAGTGTCAGCTACACCTAGATCAGTGACCAGAGCTTCTGACAGCAAGGGAGCCAGCAGCAAGTGTCTAGGGGGACCCACTTCTTCATAAAAGCGTAACAATTAAACTGTTAATAGCTCCTGACTGATTCCTCTTCTGCAACTGTCACTAGTCTAATACTATCCTTACCTTTTTGTGTCTTTTTAACCCACTCCCTCTAGCATGTAAGCTCATTGAGCAGGGCCCTCAACCCCTCTGTTCCTGTGTGTCCAACTTGTCTGGTTACAACTACATGTATGTTCATCCACCCATTGTAAAGCGCTGCGGAATTTGATGGCGCTATATAAATACCATAATAGAATAGAATAATATACAGAGGAGTTCATGGTAGACTTAGTGACTGCAGGGTTCCCAGGTCCTGTGGTTGCAAAACAAGCCCAACTCATCACCCCTCCACCACCATGCTTGATATTTGGTATGAGGCATTTGTGCTGATATTTTGTATGGGGCGTTTGGTTTTCCAGAAATGAGGCGGGTGGTATTATCACCAAACATTTCCATGTCTAGTCTGTTCAAAGGACATTGTTCCAGAAATCTTGTGGTTTGTTTAGATGCAACTTTGCAAACCTAATCCATGATGCCATGTTCTTCTTAGAGAGAAGAGGCTTTCTCCTGGCAACCTTCCAAACAGACCATACTTGTTCAATCTTTTTCTAATTGTACTGTCATAAACACGGAGGCCTGTAGAGTGTGAGGGTTTTTTGCAATTTCTCTGAGCATTGCATTGGGGTGTATTTGCTGGGATGTCCACTCCTGGGAAGATTGGCAATTGTCTTGAATGTTTTCTAATTTCGAATAATCTTTCTCACTCTTTAAAATGATTGAGTTTACATTGTTTGGAAATGGTCTTATAAACCTTCTCAATTTGATGGGCAGCAACAATGCTTCATTAAGATTAAGATGTGTGATAACACATGCCTGAATACTCCAGACCAACAAACTGCTAAACCAAGGCTTGACAAATTTGTTTAAAATCTAGGAGCCAGCTAAAAAAGTTAAGAACTTTTTTTTTTTTTTTTTTTAAAGATACAGTATAGTCACCAGAACCACTACAGATTAATGAAGTTGTTCTGGTGTCTAAAGCCTGTCCCTATAGCCCTTTTTTTATAGAAAAGCAGTGTTTACCTCTAAGACCTCTAGTTACACTTAGACGGCCACTAGAGAGTCCTGTGTCAGTGCTCTGCATGGAGACACTGACTGTTCCCTGTGGAGGCGGAACAAGCCACGACGAAACCAGCATGGCGATGGGAAAAAAAGGAAGTAAAAACACGAATTGTAGCGGAATAGATTCTCTAGCTAGACTTTTATTCCCTTTTGTTCGGCTGCCCGTACACCCCCCATTCGTTTAGCGAACCAACTATGTGTGGGTCCCCAGATTCCTTTTGTGTTTTGGTCACCCTGTGCCCATTATTGGTGCAGGATATGTTGAATATATTGATTGTCTGTGCCTCTCCCCCTCCCCCCTTTTTTGGGTCCTATTGTTTCCCCAGCAGGTCGTTGTCCCAGGGACACTGCCAGACCTGTTTAACCTAGCTGCTTTGTCCCTCCTCAATCTCCCATCAGCCCTTGTCAGTTTACTCCCAGAACTGTGTGTCGTCTAGTTACTGGGGGAAAGTGTCTTGGGATATTTTACTGCTTATTTCAGCTACAAGGACTGACCAGCGGAGATACCTATGATAGGTATTCGAACTCCGCTACACCAATCATGTGATCGAAGGGGGGCAGGTAACTGAACAGACAGAGACACACACGCACACACACTGACAGGCACACACACACACACACACTTTCTCACACACTCCCAATTTTACATTTTTAATTTTAATCCACCCAGCCTCCCTACCTTTCGGAGAGCTGAGTAGACTTTCCCTGGGGTCCAGTGGGGCTGCTCGCTCTTCCTGTGTGCGAGGGAGCAGTAATCCATGGGTCGACAAATCCTAGGCACCAGGTCATCATGGCGCCTAGGAATTTTGCCTTAGCGTCTGGGATATGCGAGCCCCTTACCTTCAAGGCAGGTGGCCAGTGGCAAGCTGGGGGATTATGGAGGCAGTATGCTGGGTGATCGTTAAGGGGGTGGGGACTGGCTGCGCAAGTAGAAGGAGGGTAGCGAGGGCGCAGAGATGTCCCTGCTCTGCTCCCCCGCGCACGGCTTAATGAGACTGGGGCAGGAATATGACATCATATTCCAGCCCCGGTCTCACTAAGCCACGCGCAGGGGAACAAGGCAGTGTTTACATTGAAAATTCTGCAGGGAAAGGCTATAGGCACCAGAACTACTACATTAAGCTGCGGTGGTCCTGGTAACTATAGTGTCGCTTTAAGAATTGGGTTCCTTTATATTCAACAACAAGAATTGTATTTTTGTTGTTGACTATAAAGCTTTGCACGTTTAAAAAAAAAAAAATCTGTCTCCTAGCTTTTTAGCTGGCTCAAAGATTCAAAGCAATTTTGTCAAACCCTGCAGTAGTCTAGCTGCAGCTCCTCTCTGCTCCATGTAGTGATGCCAGGCCGCAACGATGTCATATTCAGGTTCCTGACATCATTAAATAGCGCGAGGGAGCAGAGAGGAGCTGCAGGGGGATCACGGCTCCCTGGGGCGCTTCATCAGCTGACCACCTCGATGCTCCCCAGGGCGGTCAGCTGGCTAGAACGTTCCCTGAGCTTGCCGCCTCCATGCTCCTGCGGTAAGCCGGCCGCTTTACGTAAAAGGCTTGGCGACCTGGGATTTGTTGAGCCCTGTGCTTTATAGAGCATGCGCATTAGACCCCGTTCGTCACGGGACGGATAAGGAGCGGGCTTCTACCCAGCGTCGAAGGAAATCGGCGCTGGGGATCAGGTAAGTAAATCAAAAGGATTTTAACCCTTTATTTATCAGAGGGGGTGGTGTGGCGACGGAGTGGGGAGGCAGAGGGATCGGTAGTGCCAGGAATACAGCTTTGTATTCCTGGCATTACAGTATCCCTTTAATACACCCACTATCAATCATTAAATCGTATAATCAGATAAAGCGCGGCTGCACAGTGTCAATACTCACATTATAGAAATTGAACATCGAAACTCTCTCCTGTTACAGATTATATATCTATAACTATATAAAGTTTATATATCTATACTAGGGATCGATCAATTATCGGCCGATATTCTGTATATTAGGCAATATTGGTCTTGGCCAATAACGATGCCGATATTGCAGACCAGGGCCGCCATCAAGGTCCTGGGGGGCCCTAGCACACTCTTACCTGCCTTCCCAGCAGCTCCCTTCAGCTTCCCTGTCTAAATCTCGAGAGTCACACAGCCGTCAGAGCGTTGCCACTGGTTACCATGGCAACGCTCCAAGCGGCACACAGGCCGCGAGAGTTAGACAGGGGAGCTGCTGGGAAGGTAGGTAAGAGTGTGCTGGGCCCCCAAGGACTGCCATATCCCCTCTCCCTGGCCAGGTAAGAAGCAGGGAGGGGGGACTAAAGCAATTTACACACATTACATACCTACACAAAAACACACACTGCATTCACTAATCTAATACTCTCACTGCATCCATTACACACACATATATTCTTGAAAACATAAAAAATTCTGACTGGCATGTATATTTTGTGCATTTACCTTAATAAAAAAAGATTTGCAAAAAAAAAATAATAATAAACACGTTCAGTTAATAGTAGATTTGTATAGAAATAGTTTAATTTTTTAAAATGGTAAATGTACAGAATATCGGTAAATTATCGGCATGAAAATTCACAGATTATAGGTATCGTTTAAAAAAAAAAAAAAAAAATCAATATTGGTCGATCCCTAATCTATACAGATTATATATCTATAACTAGACAGAGTATCCATAACAGGGGTGTTGACAAAAAAAATAAAAAATAAAACTTGCCCAGAGTTTATTACCCTGGATTAGCGAGAGACGGTGTTTATTACCCTGGATTAGCGAGGGACGGTGTTTATTACGATGTTTATTACCCTGGATTAGCGAGGGACGGTGTTTATTACGATGTTTATTACCCTGGATTAGGGAGGGACGGCGTTTATTACCCTGGATTAGGGAGGGACGGCGTTTATTACCCCGGATTAGCGAGGGACGGCGTTTATTACCCCGGATTAGCGAGGGACGGCGTTTATTACCCCGGATTAGGGAGGGACGGCGTTTATTACCCCGGATTAGCGAGGACGGCGTTTATTACCCCGGATTAGCGAGGATGGCGTTTATTACCCCGGATTAGCGAGGGACGGTGTTTATTACCCAGGATTAGCGAGGGACGGCGTTTATTACCCAGGATTAGCGAGGGACGGCGTTTATTACCCAGGATTAGCGAGGGACGGCGTTTATTACCCAGGATTAGCGAGGGACGGCGTTTATTACCCAGGATTAGCGAGGGACGGCGTTTATTACCCCGGATTAGCGAGG